TTATTTTTGTGCTTTCGCTCGCTCAGAAATATTCCAAAAAATGCCAGGGAATTAGGGGTGGGTCGTGGGCAATTTCATTCAGGCGTCAATGGGTTAATAATGTCAAATCCTTGTTTATATGGCTGAATACTAATTTTGGTGAGCCCGGCATCCGGTATATTGGGATTTATAACGTAGACTATTATAAAATGACCGGCAGTCAAAACATTTTAATAGCACTCTGGTTAGCCTAAAAAGCACTCTGGTTAGCCTAAAAAGCACTCCAGTTAGCCTGAATAGCACTCCGGTTAGCCTAAATAGCTAAACGGTTAGCCTGTTTACAGTTAGCTTTCAATAATGCTAAGGGTAACTCGATATAGTATCGCTTGCCAGGCCATCGACCCAGGTTCAATTCCTCTTAGGATTGCCCACCATAACGTTCATTTTACGTTGTTTAAGTCTCACTGCCGGACACGGAGTATTTTAAGAAACCTGTCCGACTGCCGGACATGTAGCCACAGCGTATAGTTAATTGTTGCTGCCAATGTGAGGGACATAAACTTTAGCAATGCATGCAGTATAAATGGATGGAATTCCCACTTGATATGAAGTTGAGGACGACTAGCCATGTCTTTCCAGTAGCTATGAATTGTTACTTCTAGTCTGTCATTTCAGTTCTAAGGCAAAATCCTTCCTTTCATGTGTCCGACTGTACTTACCCAAGATCAAAGCCATCTGTCCACACAAACAGTGATAAACAGTTAAAGATGTTGCCCCTTGATTATACTCCTCCTTATCCTTCGTATCAGAACACACAATACTACGTGAAACAACTTTCGGCATTTTGAAAACAAAGATAAGACAACTGTTCAAGAAACGAGGAGAAACATGGCCGCCATGATCTTTAACCGTGCGTGGCTACCAAGTCGACATCAATGACCAGCAGCCATTGCGGTAATAAATAGGAAACCCCCGGGGAGCACTGGGTGGGTCCAGTACTGCACGCTTGACCAGACCAGGAATGGCCAGGTAATTACTGAAGAACTGTTTTCCATTCAAGAATTGTTGTACATGTCTTCTCCTTTTATTTTTGTCTCTCTCTCTCTGTTCTTCTTTTTGGGGCAACGCTTGCCTGTTACAAAAACGCAAAACCGTTGCCCTTCTATACCCTACATGAATACTTTTTGTCGAATTCTTGGAAAAAAGAACACATGCCCATGCATTTTTCAGTTTCACCATACAATAGCAATGGCTGAATGCAGCGACGTTTCGGCTGTGAAAGTTTTCAATTATATTTGTGGAAGTGGTGGAGTTGCCGAGCTATCACATTTGCTGAGGCATCCTTCTCCTTTGGCAAAGAAAACTACAGCATATGAGGTGATTTTATGGTTTGAAATTCAGAAAAAGTCGGACCCCGAGAACGGGTTGGTTTTAATCAAAAACCAACACGGCAAGGTCATTGGCATTCGAATCGATTTGAAGAAACAGCTGTGTCTAAAATATACGACCACAGAATCGTGTAGGTCGGGGAAGAGATGTAAATTCTGGCATCTTTGTAAGGAGTTCATCGAAGGGACCTGCAAAGGCACTGATTGTCGGCGTTCACATGACTTCCACGACGAAGACAACAAAGAGAGGACAGTGGAACTCGGTTTTGGGAGCAAACCGAGCGGATCTTTGAAAGGTATTGTCGCTGGAAGCTTCATGCAAGTTTGTCTAATGTATTTGCAAAATGAATGCATCCCTGACAATTGTCCCTATCTTCATATTTGTCCTAATGTAATCCGAGCAACTCCCTGTGAATGTGCCTTATCACACAATTTCGCCGATCCCCATAACAGGTGCATTCTTGAACAATATGGATTTAGGCCTCCCCGAACATCCGAAGTAGATGTTGTGAGATGTAACAGTTTGGTCCTGGCTAAAAACCAGAAACCCTTTGAAGCTAGCAAGATGAATTTGCATTCTAAGGTGTCTAAGGGTGAACCAGGGAGGCAGACTGGCTTACTTCAAGACATTGGCAAAACAGGAGTAAGGGCAATGACTTCGCTTATGTCTCACCATGATACAGCAATTCCAAACGCCAATCCCTTGCCTGACAGAGTTTTCAATTTCATATGTGACAAAGGAGGGGTTGCTTCCTTGTCAGATCTGTTGCAACATCCCTCACCATTGGCAAGGAAGTTTGCTAAACCTGGGCAAGAACTTGATGCAAAGATATGGCTTCAAGTAGAGGCACAGCCAGAACAGGGTCAAAGGGTGTCAAGGATCATTTTACTAGAGAGCCAGGATGGTGAAATTATTGGTGCACGAGTGAATTCCAGGAAGAAGATTTGTTTGAATTACTCTAAAGGCAGTTGTAAGTCTAATAATTCTTGCCCATTTTGGCATGTTTGCAAGAGCTACCTTGAGGGCAATTGTCAGGATAATTGTGGTCTCTCGCATGACCTTCATGATGATGGCAATGTAAAGAAGGTAAAGAAGCTGGAAATAGAAAAGCTCCCAAATGGAACTCTGAGGAGTGTTGTTGCCAACAGTCTGCCTCAGGTTTGCCAAATGTACCTGAAAAATAACTGCCAGTCCAGCTGTTGTCCATATCTGCATATCTGTTCTGTTGCCGTCCAAGGACATCCATGCAGTTGTGGTTTGTCACATGACCTAACAGATGACCATAACACAGGAATTCTTAGGCAGTATGATTTGGCACCAGAGAAAACCAAGTTCAACATCATGCAGTGTAACATCTTGATCCCTCAAGGTAAGCAGCAGAGAATCTTTGAAGACAAAGCCACCTCAGCCTCATCACAAGTCAGTCTGAACATGATGGGTTCACCAGTGCCCCTGATGTCCTTGCCAACATTCCAGCAACATGAGAATGTTCTGGGTCCACAGTCACAAGGGTCAAGTAATAGCACCGAAAAGAAGAAGAGACGAAGACCACGGTCCAGAAAGAAGAAGACCAATCAAAAGAATGAAGCTGCTGGAGAATCACAGCATACAAATGCAGATGACATGGAAGAAAAAAGTTCAGACTCAGTTTCAGATAATGAAGATGTACAAGACAAACCTGATCTTTATTCCAGTTCTAAGTTTGCTGTGGATACAAACAAACCCAGTCCAATTTCATGGCAAAAGGACTTGATGGAGAATGAGATTGATGCCACAACATCCATGAAACCAGGCAAGAAACAGAGAGCACAGTCCAACAAAGGATTGATAGCATTTCAAAATGAGCCAGTTTCAGAAATGAATGTAGCTGCTGAAGTAAATTTGATTGATCTTTCTGATGATGAGGCACTTGATGATTGGGAAGGTGTAGATGCTTCAATAGATGATCTATGGACCGAGCCACCATTACTTTCCCAAGTTGATGAGTTTTTCTTTAACAGCTCATTTTCATCAAATGTTGCCGGATCACTGTCTCAGAGCAGTACGTTTTCCAACCCAGCTGACCAGATAAGCCCAGAAAGCAATTCAGACAAATCAGCCATACATGTACAGTCAATTTTCCAGTACATCTGTAACGAACACAATGGTCAAGTTCCTTATGCTTTAATATCACAGCATCCAGACTTGTTTCCATCTGAAGTGATTGATATCGCTGCATGGTTTAGGGAGAACGACAACAGGTTCATAACCATTGAGAATAGCACTGGAGAAATTGAAGCCATTAGAACACACAGCACCAAAGCACGCATTTGTTTCCGATACTTGATGGCCAAACAAGGTTGCAAAGATCCAAAATGCTTCCGTTACCACGTCTGTAAGCATTATCTGGCCAATGGAATTTGTCCATTAGGGAAGAAATGTCGATTTAGTCACAGCCATAGTTTGAAGAGTGCCCACAATACCCGTATTACTAAACAGCTGAGGTTTAAGAGCTTCTCAGAGGAGCAGCTACGTGTTCTGGTCTCTGCATCAGTCCCAGAAGTGTGCCTTGATTACAACAGGCCATCCAAAGGCTGTAAGAGAGGGTTGAGATGCATTGGCATTCACATCTGCAAGTATTTTGTAATGGGAAATTGCAAAAAAGGAGATGATTGTCCATTTAGCCATCAAAACAGTCTTGAGACACCACACAGTAAGCTGGTCCTAGGAAGATATAATTTGACCAAGGTTCCACCCCGTGCAGTGCTCAATGCTCTGCTGATACGTCAGCGGCAACCATCTGAGAAAATGAGGGAGCAACCTAAAACTGGTTAGTATGATACACCTTTAACCAAAACCTTGGTAGGGAAAAGGGGGCTATTAGATATTTGAGTCCTGCATACAGTGAGCATACTTAGAGGAATTATGGGGACTTTCACAAGATCATCTTGTATAGATGGTTGTATGCATATTAATAAATTAATATTTGTGGATTCAGACCTGTACTTACTTGATTACTAACTCTTTGTTGAGAGAGATTATTGCTAGTTTGTCCTTAAAATAAATGAATAAATTGTTAAGAGATATAGACAATTAGAATAAAGTCATGAATTCAAACATCATCTGGAGAATATAGTTGAAGGATTCCCACTATTATTTGATATTATTAAGGTTGTCAGTATGGAGAATATAGATTTTGATAAAGTTAGCTGTCAGGTGACTATGTGTATAACCATTGATAAGTGTTTCTCAAATTGCATATCATCATAGAAACAGCCACACAAAGGAGAGATGTTCCACGGTACATCTGTCTGGATTTCATACTGGGTCATTGTAGTAAGGAGCAATTGTGTGACCAGTATCACTACAACACACCATACATGTGGCAGTATAACGACCCCAGCAGTGATCACCAAGGAGACACTTGGAAGGGGTTTACACAAAGTGAAAATGAGGCTATTGAGCAGCAGTTCTGTGATGTCAATGTGTTAGATGCAGAGATGGAACATATCATGATTCCAACTCCTCCTTCAGTGCTGTAAGTACAATCTAGATACATGTTTTGTATATATATCCATACTGTTGTGATGTAAATGTGGGAGTGAGTTCTCAATGTCATCTCTCTTTAGTAAACCACAAGCAATTGTAGAAGTCAATTGCAAATTTCTGTACTTCTCTTCTAATGTTTCTTGTATTTGGAAGGGGAACAGGGGCAGGGCACAGAAGCAGATTGTTCCCACTTTCCATACATTTTACCTCCTTTTTCCATTTACTCTCCCCTTTCTTTTCAGATTCCTATGCCCCTTCTCTATCTTGCCACTAGAATGTCTCATCAAACAACATTTCAAGAATCCAAGTCATTACAAGCAACTGGTTTATAGTTGAGCTTTAATTATACCAAGAGAAAACATGATCCTGTTGAAAACTGTTTATTCCCCAGTATTGATCCTGGAGAAGGACAGATAAAAGTTAACTTTGATGACATGAAAGCTGAGACAGGGTTTGGACATGTGCAGTTGAGACGTCTGTCCACTAAACCAGCAGTCTTACCTACAGATCATGCTCTGTCGACCCAGTGGGTTTGGTGCTGGTTGGATGAGAAGAGCAACATTTGGAGAGAGTATGGCTCTGAACTAATGGTAGGTTTCAGTGATCAACTATAATTAGTCTCTTGGCTTAGAAATTAGCAGAAGATATTAGATTTACCACGAGTGCCTCCTTAAAGCACGAGAAGTACTGATTCCACAGTAGCTGTGCTCAAATTTGAAGTTAGACTGCTTACTGCTCGCATATTCAAAGCTCAAAGGACATAAAGGTTAAACTCCTCTTACATTTTCATAGTTTGAAAGATTTATTTTTTGTTGATCTTTCAGCACAAAATCGAATTGAAGTTTTCCAGAGGAGCCCCATCCTGTCAATTTAAAGAAAGGGATGAAGATTTTAAGCTGTTTTTTTGCAAGGTACCCATGTACCAGCAGAGCATTAAGCCACCAGTGACCATAAAAAGAGTAAGGAGAAGGCCTGTGTTTCGATCATTATCAGAGATACAGAGACTACAGAGGTAAGGAAAGCACTCCTTCGTTACTTAAGTACAATTCTATGGATTGCATTCAAACTAATAAAATTTAGTCTTACGTAGACATTCATCTGACTCATCACGCAATCAAGATCCTCCACTATGGGAAGGAAAGATTGTGCCGAACACACAGCAGGCTTACAGTATGATAATTTTTTGTACATAATTTTGGGTGCTTATAGAAGGAGAACTCTTCATGCACTGTTAAGTACTATATATTTACAGTGTTTTTAATCCTTTACATTACTTGAAGAATCCTCGTTCTGCAGTCTCCCTCCNCCCCCCCTCCAAAAAAAAAAGATATGGACAAAAAATTCAAGCACTTATGGTTCGAGTGTATTTACTGTAGAGACAGCTAGCGATCAGAACTTGAAAGAGCATCCCGTGAAAAGCGCGGAGAAAGCCGCGTTAGCCTTTTTGCGATGATGAAACTTGCTTTCACCCATCTGTTGGAAATGAACCGTTCCTTCAGATTGGTCAGTTACCGGGTAACTCTTTCTTTATTTTTAACCAGTCAAATCTAAATCTTGATAAACACAGTTTTAATATTTGAGTTCCTGGAGTTCGCTCCATAACTGGCCATTTCCGAGTGATCTTTTGCCTCTGTTTTAAAACGAGTCCTAGTGCAAAACATTTCATATCAAAATGGGTTTGATTTGCATCAAAACGAACCTGTAGGCAGAACACATTTTCATTAGAATGGCTGTGCAGGAAGACTCGTTTTGACACAGAGGTAAATTAGGCAACTCCGAAATAGCGTATCTGTAACTGTGAAGGAACTGAATTGGTTTATTTTCAGACCCCTTGAATTGCCAATTCCTTTGGAACCTGAATCGCCACGATCTCTCGTAGCTTCGGCGCCAGGCCGCGTTCCCTATCAGTGGACGAGTGTCCCTGAAACTGAGGAGTTCATACGCGTTCCTCTTCCCACAAGCTCAGATCAATTCAAACTGGCCGAGAGCCTATTTCGCCAGTCAATGTCAGAAAACAAGGCAGTTATTACCTCCATTGAGCGGGTTCAAAACCCTTTTATGTGGGAAAAGTATGCAAGGTAAGGTTTTGCATTTTTTACACAAGGGATTTTTTTCTTCTTCGATGATTCCTTCGTGTTGTAAGAACTGTGCGTCCCGAAGTAAGCAATACCTGACTGTATTGTTTGGCTAGCTCCACGACCGGAATTTATGGACTAACTGCTACGCTAATATATTGGGGCTTTCTACCCTCTATGTCACGTGATGTCATATAATGAATGCCTCACCGACCACGCCCTCCTCAAGATGATTGGGCATTGGCCCTTATTATTTTTTGCCTTATCATAGTCCTCGACTGCAACATAGTCGATAAGCATACAAAAACTCGACCTGGCCAATATCCAGCCATCTTGACTTCACACTGATGGTCTATAACAAAAATAAGTACCTCAGAGATAGAATGGATAACACCCCTAAATTTCCCCTTTCGATTTGAAATAAGCCTGGGTGTTGACAAGACAGTAAAAACTTTGAAGACATGATTGATTATCGCGGTTATATGCACAACTTAAGCAGCAGTTCAAATATACGATCTTTCTCATATTCACTTGTACAGTAAAAACATTGCGTTTATGCTCTGCAGAAAGAAAGAACAAATGGAGAAGAAGGCGCGTATCAAAGGCAACCCGGTAAATGAAAAGTTATTATTCTACGGAACCGACTTCAATAATGTCGACAATATCTGCGCGGAGAACATCGACTGGCGTGCTCTTGACGAAGATCGTGCGGCTCAGTTTGGACAAGGCGCTTACTTCACGGAGGAGGCAGCTTTGAGCAATCTTTACTGCAAGCAGGATTCTGAGTGTTTCCGTTACGTGTTTCTGGCTGAGGTGCTGGTGGGATCGTTTGTCAGAGGTGAGTCATCTATGAAACGGCCTCCTGTCAAGGATGAATCCGCACCCAAGAAGGAGCTGTATGATTCATGCGTGGATAATGTTGAGAAGCCCACCATTTTTGTGCTGTTCGACGCAGATCAATATTATCCTACCTTTTTGATTAAATACAAAACCAAATCGAAAGTGGTATGTTAGATGAGATCAGATGAGTTACGGTAATTACGCTAAAGCTCGCCTTTTGTTGCACTCAAGACGTATAAGTTATATTTATAAATCTTAGGGCTTTAAAGTTTCTTAAGGTTTCTTTCAGTAGAGTGCGTTTATTTGGTCAACGATGAAAATGGGCTAGGTGAAATGAATTACAAAACAACAACAACAACTGGAACGTTCTTTTCCTTTTCTTTTCTTCAGAGTGTCTCGTTACCCTATTATCCATCTCGGTGTATTCGCAGTGATTCACCAACATTACAGGGTTCGTACAGGTCATGGAAAACCTGGAAAGTCATGGAATTTGTTATTTGAATTTCCAAACCTGGAAAGTCATGGAATTTAAGTTAGGGTCATGGAAAGTCATGGAAAAGCAATATGCTTGGCAAAAATATATTTTAAAATTGACAAACTAACAGACTATTCAGAAACAGGCTTTAATTTCAGTAGAAATAGACAAAATCACACATTTTATGCATTATAATGCTGGAAAATGCGTTAAATAAATGATTGTTTTGATACTGCTGTGAGAACAAATGCTTAACATTGGTCATGGAAAACTCGGAAAGGTCATGGAAAGTCATGGAATTTTAAAAGCTTCAAAGAGTACGAACCCTGAACAACAAGAACAAGTGCATTCTGGACAGGCCGCCCGTTTTTTTGACTTGACCAATAGACCTAACGTTCAGTTTACACCACACAAGTAAATGAGCGTTTTTTTCCTTGCTTATGAATACCAAGACAAAATGATTCAGTTTCCTTTCTTCTGCTGCCAAGGCGGAAATGGGAGCCAAATAGCCTACTCGGCTGGTCCAGTTATTTCATAGGATACAAAGAAAGATTGACAAATATCGAATAGATGTCAGTTACTCCTCATCGGTACTGACTGGGTATTTACTTGCGTGGTTTATAAAACATAATGAAACAATTATTTACTTCGTGGTTTAACTTAAATCATTTGTTTACTTTTCACAAGAATGGAAATTGAAACAATTGTGTGCCCTGGAGAAGTCAACTGCTTCATTGCACAGTCATTTTTTCCGACTGTACAACTCGGAAACTCGTCGGGACGTTATGATTGCACTCAAGTGTTCCCCCGACTGCCCGACTCGGAAACTAGTCGGTCCTATGATTGCATACTCATTCTCTCGACTGTACGACTCGGAAACCCATCGGGCGCTTTGTGAAATTTGCGCACTTGTAATCCGTACTGTTCGACGGAAATTTTTCAGCGCTTTCTGATCTTCCGTCTGTGCGACTCGGGAAATTCGTCAGGCGCTTAGTGATGCACACTTAGCTCCGAACTGTACGACTCCGTAATTCGTCGGCGCTTTATGATTTCCCGACTTTACTACTCGGAAATTCGTGGGGCGCTTTATGATTCTCCACTTACTCGCCAGACCGTACTACTCGGGAAAACTGGTCGGGGTCTTATGATTGCAAATAAGTGTTCCTCCACTCATACACAACTCGGAAACACGTTGGGGAGTAGTGTTACCGATTACTGTACGACTTGGAAACTCGCGGGGAGTTGTTTTACCAATTACTGTACGACTCGGACACTTGTCGGAAGTTTATTTATCGATTACTGTACGACTCGGAAACTCGTTGGGGATTGTTCTACCCACTGTAAGACTAGGACGCTCGTCGGGATTAATATCTGCACAGTTATTCGAGATTGTACGACTCGGGAAAACTCGTCAATCGCTTTATTATCGCAAGGTCGCTATGACTCTGGAGCTCCTTGGGGGCTTTAAGATTGCAAATGTCTTCTCTGGGCTGTACGGCTCGGAAACTCGTGTGGCGCTTAAGTTTTATGACTTGAAGTCACACTTGTTCGCCCGACTACATGACATGTTTTCCCCAGCTGTCGTGGAGTCTTGCGAGTGAACACTTGTTCTTTCGACTATACAACTCGGAAACTATTCGGGCGCTTTGCACCTGTACAGTTGAATCTCTCACTGCACAACTCGTTGAACCATTCGGAAAAGTGTACGCTGTTATCAAGATTGAACAAAACCTCGTGTTTTTATACGAAGTTTTTGAGGCCAAGCGACTTATTTCTGAAATACATGTGGAATCTCGTTTTCTTGGAACTAAGTTAGAGAGATCGTAGAGGCCTACAAGAGCATTATCTGCTTACTGAGGAGATATGACTTACATGTACTTGTTCGTCTTGTGTGATCGAGATATGACTATTTTAACTTTTCAAACGTTAAGAAGATCCGTGAAAATGCGGCAAGCAGTTTTCTCTGATGTTCTCCCGATTATCGCCGGAGGCTTTTAACGTCATGAAGACGAGAAATACAGCAGAGCTCCTTTGATGCAATTGTTTGGGTCTAATTTATCGGTAACACCTGAATAATTGGTGCAAAAAAAATTAACTTTTTTATGTTTCGGACACTTTTGACCAACGAATGGGTTGTAATGTTTTTGTACCAGTGGCTCACCTAAAATGACCGCCGCGCCGGGTAAAAATTTCTAAATTCATATCGCTTTCAATTCATTGGGATCAGTGTCAGGGAAAAAAAGAAAAAAAAAGAAAACAGAAACTAAGTGAAGAAATAAAACTGAAGTAGTATTACTTGCTCATAGGATACTATAATGGTTTCCATTAAAGGTAATTTATGCGTTTTAGGAGGTCCTTTATCCTTCAGCTTGTTGTAGAGTGATTAAGGAAACGTTTTTAAAATTCAGTTTGCTTGAAGACGGGCTCTGTCCGGTCTTCTTTTAACGTAACAGTGGAATTGCTCTCCTGTTGATTGTGCCGGTATATATTTCTTGCTGCTGTACCAAACTGAACTCGTAGGTGTCTCGTACTGCCAGTTTTGTCTTCTTAATTTTTTCTCTGGATTAGGATATTTGACGAGAGAGAACGTTGATTCCTCGCAACCGACTAGGAAGGTGGTAAGCGTAATGACCTAACAGCCAAGAGAAGCATTTCAGCAAAATAAGGAAACATCTCTCGAGCGTTGCTGATCATATACATGATCATAAATGCAGCTTTTACAAGCACAATCAACAAGGGCGTGTCCCTGCTGCCTTTAAAATATCTTGCTACTTTGTACTAGCATGTAGTATAACTTTTTTGAAAACTCACCAGGTTGCCGCTACATTTCTTTAACTGTTAAAGAGAGGGTTCCACGAGAGACGCGGAACACTCGCGCGACAAGCGGCTGTCATTAAAAGTCACTGGTCGTAAATCGTAGAGCGGTTTTCATTTTAGTGTCGAAAAGTAATCGGTTTTGAATTATTACGCGACACGATTGGCTTAAAAATCTCGCGCCGCTTTTTCATCGAATCAGTAGTAAAACTAACACCAGTTGTTATTCATTTGCACACGTTTTCCCGCGCTTTGCGTAAGCTACATGTAATTCGAGTTTTGATTGGTTCACTGTATTGACTGCATTGTCTCTGTCCTTTGTGATTGGCTAGAGTGATACCTTTGGTTTTGGTGTTACGACACTCAATTGAAAACTGCTCTAGGCTTAATTGTACTAAACTGTTAACTGTTATGTGCTTAGCAGCGTAATGGGTTCGTCTGATATACAAATCTTTTTCTTATAACACATGTATATTAAGTATTTTGGGCTGATATCATTGGTAGAAATTATGTGAGTGGTTCAGCCGATTTCAGCCCAGTGTTAAGACCCGCGGGTTTTCCCGACATGATTCGACAATAATGACCCGACGGACCCTGGCAAGTTCACTGGCTTTCTGGTTATCATTTACGCATGATCTCACTAAAATTGTCATTGCTTCCACGTTCAAGTAAATGTCCGTATATCAACCAGAGTCGAATGACTATGTTTTTGCCAGGCAAATCATGTTCATATATTGACATGGTTAGTCCGTTTGATCATAATCACATGACTCTGGCAAATTAAATTTACCTGCCGTCTAATTACCCTGATCTTACTACATCTTGCCTCTGTGTTTAACTACTGCACGTCGACGCAAACCAACCGATTTATCGAATCATAATATGTGATTCATGAGGCGAATCACGTTTTGAGATCGCGGGTCTACACTCAGTACTGAAATCGACTGCCGTCATTATCAAGACTTCTGAAAGACTGAACAACTATATTGAAAACAGGTATAAAGTTCAACCAGTAAAGGAAGGTAAGTCGGTTTTCCGATTTAAGTCCCATCACAGAGACTTGACCGAGCCCACGATTTTCGTTGTAACGCGAGGTATCCTTGTGACGTGTTGAAGTGATATGGCAACCTCTGTTCACTGTGTTCGCGAGGCCTCGGTTCAATTTCTTGATGGGTTAATTTTAGTAACGGGACCTGTTCGGTAGATTTTTACGAAGATTTGCCTGAAGACCGAACTTGCTTCCAGGACTGGCACGTGCTGGTGTAATCTTACTTACGTTTTAAAGGGCATTGCCAACCTGTGACATTAAAATTGAACAGAAGAATTGAATTAAACGACATTCAACAAAACGATATGACGTAGTGTGAATCATTACTTATATTGCATGACGGGTTACATGTCTAATTCCTGTACGGCTTTCTCCCAGGCCTTCACGGTCAACTGATTTCGCTGACATATCTCAAACAAACCGCCCCGGACCACGTGACCCGAAACGATTGACCGTGGCGAAATATTGAGGCGTTGGAACTAGGCAAGGTTACACATGGAGTTCGCTCCGAATCAAATTACCAACTGACACAAAAAGAATTTTAATTCGATCACTCTTGATCGAGCCAGTTGTGTTTTGCAGTGCTGTGGTACGTGGGCCGGATGTTAGGCGAAAGACAAAAACAGTTAATACTAATGATCCCAAAGGACTTCTATTCAAATGGCTGGTCTTTTTGAAGACCGTTTCACAGGCCGTTGGTCCCTGTCGCGGAAAAAGTAATCACGTGATGATGGATATTTGTAGAGTACTTCACTTTTTTCGCAGTTACGCCTGTCATACAATTCATTCTTTTTTTTATTACGGCAGAGTTTAAAACATGCAAAATCATCATCAAGTGTTCACCTTTGTGAAATCTACAACCAAACCAACAGTGCGTGAACTGAGCTGCCTGAAAAGAGGACACGTGGCAAAAGGCAATGACAAAGATGAACGTGATAAGTAAACCAGTAAGACCCCAAACTCAAAGGCATTTTCCGTAATTTATAGGGAACTGTTGACTAGCCTGTAAGAACTTCTAAGTACTTTAGCTCTTATTCGTGTCGCGCATGGTCTTACACTGACGTCCTACTTGAGATCTAGAAACAAAATGAACCATTTTCAGTACTAGTGACCACAGGTTGCCGAATTGTTTTGGACATGCATATCATTAACTTAATGATGGTCATATTCGTATTCTCGGTATCGGACTGAAACTAGCTTGTAATGGAGGCTCATGCGGGGAATATTATTAAAAAGAGAGAAAAGTCATTTGCATTTGAAAAGACTCCACGCATTAGCCTCAGTTGCAAGCTAGTTCCAATCTAATACCGAGAATACGAATAAGGCCTTTTTTTTAGTTCTGGTCACGTGACTTCCCAAAACGTCGAAAATCTCGAGAAACTCTTCAGTTGATTAATATGGGACAGGGACAGATTGGAGGTGATGCTCCGAAATCTATGGAAAGGGAGCCGGTGAAACGTTGCCCCAGCGGACGGACAACGGTAGACAACCCTTGTTTAACCCTCTACACGAGTCACCACTGACACGTTCATTTCTGGGGCGCAATTTTGCGAGAGACTTTTATTAACGTGGTGCTCAACTGGCAGTAAATTAAACAAGTCCAGTCCCTACAAGCGTACTGGTGCTAAGATGAAAATCTCTGACCATTTAGTGACAATTTCTCTGAAAAGCGATTGAAAAACATGTAATAAATATTAGTGCTATTTAATTAATTTAATAAAAGTGCAATTTGCCTGAAAAGTGTTTATAAAAACATTTCATAAATTATTGCATTATTCATTACAATATGCCTGAAAATTGATTTGAAAAACATCTCATAAATAATTGTAATATTTCTTTGTAAGTTACCTGAAAAATGGTTTGAAAAACATCTCATAAATTATTGTATTATTCATTGCAATTTGCCTGAAAAAGTCGAGTAAAGATATTGTTTCCCGACTCTGTAGTGCACATAATAAGGAACAAGATACCGAAGTAGAGTCAATGATCTAGCGATCACAAGCACAGCGACTTTCTCAAGTGAATGTGGCGGGAATCTATTTATCACTTGAGCTTGGGTGGACCAAACAGATTCCCGCCATATTCACTTGCGACAGCGTCAAAGGTTGGGATCGCTAAAACATTGACTCTGCCTCGATATCTTGATTCTTATTATACCTGAAAAGTGATTCGACAAACCTGTCATGAATTATAGTATGATTCATTGCAATTTGCCTGAAGAGTGATTTGAAAAACATCTCATAAATTATTATATTATTCATTGCAAAACTGAGTAATTTGAAAAAACATGTAATAAATTATTGTAGCAGTTTTAAGGCAGCATATCTATTGGAAGAGCCTTGTACAACAAGACTTCTGCTAGAATTTGCGCACCGCATAAAATGGATATTAGTGAGATTAAAATCGCCATGGAATGGTCCAGATACCACAAATCCGTATGAGCAAGAATGTAACAACAATCACTGATAAGCAAGCCAACCATAAGCGCTGCAGATAGTCCCGAGTCCAAGGCACTGCCAAGCATTGCTGAACTACGAAGCTTCCTGGATATGTAGCACTGGAGAGCGGCCAACATGAGGTACAAAACACATCCGACGCCCAGGATGGTTGCCACAAAAACCGTTTTAGTAGGATGGTCCTTTTCAATGATTCTCTTGATTGACAATGCAGTTGTCAAAATCCCGCTCAAAATAAACGAAACCGCGAACACTACGCACGCTATTCTCTCTTTTTTGTGGCCCAGATCGCCGTTCTTCGTGCTTTTAAACCTCCACAGCACAACTGACGAACACAAGACGGCATTTGCAGCGTCGAATGCCAAGGCGAGAGCGGAAGAACTGTCGTAGGCGCCAGCGGACTGAAACGAAGCAATAGTGATGACAAGTGAAACTAAGATGCAAATCGCCGTCACCCAAATAGCTGCCTTTCTCCATCGCTTACGAACATGGTCGGGTACTTTTCTCTTCTCGTGATCTTTCAATAGATTTTCGTCCATAATCGACACGCAGTGTTTGTTTCCTGGTTTTTCCAGTTCATCCCTCTGATCCTTGATCGGAGAGAATTCCGCGGTGAAGTTTCGCGAAATATAAGGCGGCAAAATGCAATGGTTAGCTGAATTGGAGGAATTCGAGCTCTTTTCTGCATCCAAAAACGCACTCGGAAACTTTTCCTCCTCGCTGTCGGAATTAGGATTTCTTCCATTTCGTCTCCACGGACAGTTAATTGACATTGAACTTCTACTCCAGTATTTTACGAGTGAACGTGCAGTCGACAGTCTCGTCAAGAATGATATGTCATGCATTCAACGAGCGCGTTTAATATTCCATTTTGAGAGTAAATGCGCTATTCATAAATTTCAGGCCTGAATGATTTCCTTTGAAAAGTCAAGACAAAATCGATTCGGTCGAGAAACGACTGTTGGTCAAAACAATGTTTGTTGAATGCAACTAGAGGTTGAAACAATAGGGCCAATGAAACTCGATGTAAAAGTTAACAAAATATATATAGCAAGTAAAAGAATTTATGAGATAGTTTATAACAGGACAGAAATTTAAGTGAAACTAGAAGGTCACATCGCGAAGAAAATTGTTACCATTAAAGATCAGGGAAGTTTTTTCTTCAAGAGCTGTCGTTCTTCGTTGGTGGGCAATTTAAAATGTTTCGTCTCGCATCACTTCGCAGGTGAATATGGTAAACTGCGCTCAAGAACGTTCAGGTGTTTTGGGCAATTGCACTTCATCAGGCCTCTACTGAAAGCGTCATTCGGTCTGGTTTAAGGCAGACCAAGGCAGGGCACGCGCGAAAACCAAAGTAACCATCTTGCTCTTCCCTGAATCAGACTGAATTAAGTTCATACTCAAAGGTCCTCAACCAGCTACCACACTCTACACACTTCACTAACCATGCATATAGAACTGTGCACTTGTCGAATCATGTACGTTATATACATAAGTTGTTGCCAGCTAACAACATCTGGATTGAACGAATACCTTCCTAAGTTCTTAGTGTAGAGATGAACTACTGAACTTACCGAGAGAAAGAATTTTCTCTAACACAAAATGACTATCATAATTATATCCATCGGTTCAATTGTCCGGAAATAAAAAGCCGTTATCGTTCGATTTCCTTCCTTCGTCCTTACGCTTCGGCTACGCTGTGAGTTCACGTCTACATGGTACATTGCACAACTGAAATAGTGCACACGGCTATCGAAAACTGGAATATTCGTTTTTATTTTGAATTTGAATGTTTTATCAGAAATTTCAAATGAAGCTGAGGCAAGTTCACACAAAAATAGACTCAAGTCCTTGTTACAAACGAGTTAATACGCCGTTTACGTTTTACGGTAGATTATTTTTTATTTAATAATTACCTTTGCATTGCATACCATCAAATTACTTGCGTATGTTAAAGGTTTTCCGTTGACTTAACAATCTATTCAACTTTGTTATTGTTAATGAGTTGCTTCTTAAACATTTGACAAGAAAGATTAAAAGCAATGCCAATTGACGACCTCAATCAATCTTGAGAATGATGCTTGATGCATCGAAACGTCGACTGACATTACTTTTAATCTTTTTTGGTATTGGTCCCTTAAATTAATATAGCTCGTCCTCAAGACAGGGAAAATTTTTCAACTCCAGTCAAAAACCTTAGAATTTCACAAATATTAATTTGCATTTCTTGTTTCTTCAGTTAATTAACCTTGCAAATATTATATTGTAACATATGTTTTTGTTCCCTAGCTGCTGAGCGCCCGCTATAGGTATGTGCCCTTATGTTTATCCATTAATATAGCTTATTATCTCATCTCCTTATATAACCCCATGTATTGAAAATGGAGATAAGTCTAACAACAAGCAGATCGACCTTGACAACTAACGAATCATATTTAGACAACAAAATGGTATAAAGGCGCCAAAAATTCTAAAATAGAGCGCAATAAAATACAATAGACTAAAATACGATAAAACACAATAGAGTAAAATTATTAAATAAACTTAAGATTTTTTGTTAAAAAGAATGCTGTTTTGTCCTGGGAGTGGACAAGAGTTATTGTCCGCAGTGGGGGTTGACTTGACATGCCAGGAATCCAGGAACTTTCAGATTTGATTGTTGCTTTTGTCAATGATGGAGGCGTTATTGTCCACTCTCAGGACAATATAGCATTCTTTTTAACAAAAAGTCTTAAGTTTGTTCCATAATCTTACTCCATTGTTTTCTATCGTATTTTAGTCTAATGTATTTTATCACACTATATTTTCGAATTTTTAGCACCATTTCGCCCGCTCAAGACTGTAGTTAAGACAGTCCAAAGCTTGTGTTTTTTATATACTTTTAGCCGCAGAACGTTTTTATATTTTACCATGATTCATACTGGCTGTGGCCCTTCTATATTGTCAAAATATTTTTTGTTTGTAATGTTTTGTATTTGCTCATTTCTTTGTTTGTTTTGCGGCTTATTTAGTGTTACTGAACTCATTTGTTTGTTTGTTTGTTTGTTTGTTTGTTTTTGTTTGTTTTTGTTTTTCATTCTGTAATCCTCCATACCTTTCAGGTTGAGAAACCTAATCAGAGGATTTACAAGCTTCTAGGTATTACTGGGAAAATAATAACCCACATGTTTCCTTATTTTTCAGTTCTTTTTCTCAATTGTTTTTTTTGTTTTGTTTTGTTTGTTTGTTTGTTTGTTTTAATTTTTCATTTGTTACATGTCAAATACAGAACGCGAGACTCCATCTTCTCTCGTTGAGAAGAAAAATAAACTGCCACCTCTGTGATCCAGCTACTACTTTTCCATATTTCCGGTTTTTGGTAGGATTCCTCTCGTAAGATCTTTGTTTTTGTTTTTTGTACTTCTGAACCTTCAAAGGAACTTTTCATCTTTTTAACGTAGGATTTCAAGGGCGATGGTACCGGTCCAGGGATGTGGACGTACATGAATTTGTGACCATGCATCTAACACATAGAAAAGTACCACCCCTTCGAAACTGACACTCGTTCGGTCTAAACAAAGGCTTGGTAAGTATCATATCAAAAAGCCTGTTGACCCGACCACATATTTCAACAACCAAGGCCCACGCCTTCGGGGATCCTTAAACTGTATTTATCGTAGATATAAATTTATCCCCCATATACAAGAACTTGAATTTCCTGACGAGATAAGTAGTATCAACTAAAAAGCAAAATCAATGAAAGCCAAATAAAAGTTGTATTGATCTACCATTGCATCTGATCTAAATGTGCTCGATGCAGTGTGACAGTGCAGAAGTATTTTGGGAGAGAACCAATCAAATTTAATCTATAATGCCATCTTGTAAAAAGGATTTAGTACTAGCATCATTGTGTTAACCTTTAACAGAACATTGTTACGGACCAAAGGTATTACGGCACACATACCTCCATCACTTCAAAACACACAGACTCGTATTACAGTTACATAACCGAACATTTGCTTTTGTCCTTTGAGGAGCTACGATACATGCCACCAGACTGCGTCGATGGGCCATAGGGGTTTGATCTGCTAGTTGTGTTCTGGTATGGTGTGCTAGAAGAGCTTGAAGGTGATGAAGTGTAATAACCATTCGATGTGCCAGAGTACGCTCCACTTGCTGCACTTTGGTACGTTGTGCCAGAAGTGTTTGAAGCTGAGGAGGAATAACAATTAATAGATGCACCCAAGTAAGATCTGGTTGCCGTGCTTTGGTGTCGCGTGCTAGCGGCGTTTGAAGCTGAAGAAGTATTATAACCACTCGATGAACCAGAGGTGGATCCACCTGTTGTGCTGTATGATGATACTCCACTAGCATTCGAGCCTGTGGAATAACCAACAGATACACCAGATCTGCTAGAATATACCGACGTACTCGAGTTTCTTGACATGGCCGCGGTACTGGCGGTGTGCGACTGAGAAGCTCTGGATTGCAATGGTGCTGCTTTAGGAAGACTCGGCTTTGGCACTGGCTTTCTACCCACTGGCTGCTGATAGCTACCGTGGGCTGCTTGGTATGCTACTGAATACCAAGCACTCTCATGTGAGTACTTGATTATGTACTCAGGGTAGAACTGATCGGTATCGAAAACAACGAAAATGGTTGGATTTGATTTGTCATCCACACAGGAGTCGTACAGATCGCTCGCTGGGTTTGAAGGATCTTTCTGTGGCGGTCTTCGATAACTGGAGTGGCCCTTAGTATAAGAACCAACGAGGACTTTGGCAACGAATATGAATCGACATGAATTCATGTCTTCCTTGGCGTAAGCGTCGCTGTAAGAGGCATTCAAAGCGAAGTAGCTTCCCTCCCCATACTTGGTTGCGTTCTTTCCGTGTAAGCGCCAATCAAAGTTCTGTTTGCAGATGGCCTCCACGGTTTCAGGGCTAGTTCCGTGAAACAATCTCCTCTCGATCTGAATGATTCGTTTGTGGCCTCCAGTCTTGACGGCAAGCATGTTCTCCTTTTTCCTGCAAACAGTGAACGCAAATCAGGACGCCTTACAAGCCGAAACGAATCATCAACCAGATCAACCTATTAAATAGCGTACAAGAGGTGACCAAAAGCTCGAATGGTACAATGTATATGTCACTGTAATATAGACTGGTTATAAATTAACAAGAGCTCTTAGATCCCCTTTTGTCTGAGGAAGTTTAATGTTATGCCAGTATAACTGCAGCCAAATGAATCAAGGGTCTAAAAAATTTTCTTTAAAAACTATAGCAGGACGTTTCGATTGCTGCTGCAACCTTCTTCAGCTAAAAAATGTAAATAAGGGTCTGCATAGTACTTTGTAACGACCAGGCCAGGCACCTTCTAATTAATGGCTTTCCTTCACAATTTGACACCAATTTGTCAAATCAATTTCCAATCAAAAAAAAATCCTCAAGAGTCTACATTTTTTTGTATCATGTCTCTTTCGAGGACATTTTCCCCACTTTCGGAGCGGATAGCAAAGGAAATTGGCGGTCTTAATTCCAGGCTGATTAAGACAGGACAGGTGCTAATGTTAGAGTGAAATACCTCTGATACTTTTCTCACATGAACGGGTTCTGTACACGTTCAATGCTTTTGATGACCACGCTCTTGTTTACTGTTTTCTTAAAAAACATCTCCATTTCCTTATATTCAGATGAGGTTGAAGTTAACAGAACGCG